GTCTCAGGGCCTGTCTTTGCTGCTTTCCTGAGTTGGACCTGTTTTCTGACGTCTCACGTTTTCCTCCTTCTTATCACATGCGCTCATGTTACTGAGGCACATCTTCCCGTGAAGGGGCGCATGCGGAGTAAATCATTGAGTCTCTTTACACGCGTGAAATGTCTCCGTGTAACTCTCATACTTGGTTAATCTTTTGTGTGTGGAATTTGAAGTCGAAAGTCCTTTTCCTCAGAATTTTGAAGGCATTGCCCTGCAGTCCTCTGCTACTTGCTATTGCTACTGAAATGTCCAGTCCCACTTAGTTTTCATTTCTGAATATGTAGGGTGACTATATAATCTCTTGCCAAAACTGGGACATTTGAGGTACTAGCCTGAAAAAGAATACTAGGACAGCAGGCGTAAACCAGGACTCTCTGGGGTAAACTGGGACATACGGTCACCCTCTTTATATGTGACCTATTTTTTCTGTAAGCATTTAGGATCTTCTCTGTACTTCCAGTGTTCCACATTTCATGCTGATGTGTCTTGGGAAAGGTCTTTTTTTCATTCATTGTACTAGATTTTTTCAGGCTCATTCCTGTCCTTCGATTTGGGAAATTTTCGTTACTGTTTCTCTAATTATGTCCTCCTAGCCTTCCTTAGTCAGATGTTTGACATTCTGGATTGTCCTCTAGATTTTTTTCTTCTCTTACAAATAAGCAAGGGTCTGTTATCCTTTTGCCTTTTTGTTTTATAGCTGAAGGGTTTTTGTACATTTCTTTTCCAGTTTATTGAAATATAATTTTTTTTTCTGTTTTGTATTTAATTTCTTGTTTTACTCTTTTCTCACATCCTCCTGTTCTTACAGGAATATGTCTTCTTTTCCATTCTTCTTTCTTTCTTTTCTTAGGTTTCTTTTGTTTCCTTCGTTGCTCTCTTGGATCCCCTCTTACCTATCTGCTTTGGTCTGTCTGAGCCTTTACGCAGATGCCAGTGGTCCTTAACTCTCTTCATATTTAGTAGTAAGACATTCAGAGTACCTCTGAAACCTGAGGAGAGCTTTTTGGCTTCTTTAACTATAATTGCTCTGTGAACTAACATCTTGTTTGGAATAGTCTTCAAATGTCAGAACTTGGAGATATTTTCTGGGGAGTGGAGGGATCAACCATGCAGTTTCTCCAAGAGATACTCCTCTGCTCTCCTGCATGGGAGATTTTGTGTCAGGGTGCTGACATTCCGTTTGTAGGGTAAGGGAAGCAGGCAGAAGTTCCCAGGGACTGGCATGGCACCTTTTTCTTCTACCTCATTCCAGCCTCTTGTGCCTCAGAGCCATCTCTCTGGAGCTTCTGGGGCTCAGTTTTTCCAGAGAAGAAAACTTTTCTCCCTGTGAGTGGGGAAGAAGGGTATAGTCACTTGTGGGATAATGGAGAAGGCCCAGTGGCACTGTCCCCTCCCACTTCTCCCTCTTTGTGGTAACTGTCACTGCCAGAGCTCCTCCTCACAGGGATTCTGTGGGCCTAATTAGTTCCACCCTCACCTTTATTCCCTCTGGGCACTTGGGTGATAACTGCCTTTTACTCTTCCATCTCCTGTCTTTGAAAAATTTATGAAAATCTGCTCTCATTAACTCTCCCTTTCTCTTCTTTCTCGTGGGTTAATACATTTGTTTTATTCCTCTCCTGTCTTTTAGAGGGCTTGAGAAGGGAGAAGAGATAAACTAATGTGTTCAGTCTGCCATTTTTAACTGATTCTGGCGTGCATTTTTCTAGACAAAGTATTATAAATGCTGATTAGATGCTGAACAGTACCATCAGCGCTATTCCTCATGTATGTTGTTATGGGTTAAGTAGGTTTTTGTGGGCTGACCTGGAAACCTAACATCTATGATTTTCCCCTGGAACTAGAGAAACAATCAAGCCTTTGTGAGCTGACCCTGGGATTAAAACAGACTAGAACAAAAATATTTCACGCATGTCTCCATTTTCTGAGTCACAAAGGAAATTAGAAATACTACATCATTATTGTTGAAAAGAAAAAGCTCCACTAACTGTAACAGAAACCTGTATTTTAATAGAAAAGTTTATTCATAAAGTTAAGCTATAAAAATTGAACTGAGAAGCAAAATTAATTCTTCAGCAATATTCCTAAAGCTTAATTTTTCAGTAACTTTTTTGAAAGCCGTTTTCCTAATTAAATTAAAACCCAGTGATTGTGTTAGCTGTGGGAAATAGCAGTAGCCATGGGAATAGTTTGTTTACTTGTATTTTCTGGCTACTTTTTTTTTTTTTTTAAGATTTTACTTATTTGTCAGAGAGAGAGCGTAGGAGCAAGGTGGAAGGGCAGAGGCAGAGGGAGAAGCAGGCTCCCTGCTGAGCAGGGAGGCCAATGTGGGGCTCAGTCCCAGGATCCTGAGATCATGACCTGAGCCGAAGGCAGATGCTGAACCAACTGAGCCTCCCAAGCATCCCTTTTGGCTATTTTCCTTCTTTCTTTCTTTCTTTTTTTTTTTTTTTTTTTTTTAAGATTTTATTTATTTATTTATTTGACAGAGATCACAAGTAGGGAGAGAGGAAGGGAAGCAGGCTCCCTGCTGAGCAGAGAGCCCGATGCAGGGCTCAATCCTAGGACCTTGGGATCATGACCCGAGGCTTTAACCCACTGAGCCACCCAGGTGCCGCCCCTTTTGGCTACTTTCTTATTCCTGCCTTGCACGCAACAGGATCTTCTGCCTCACTGGACTGAATAAAGTAGACTTGGCCAGATTGACCAGTAAAACCACCTTCCTTGTCACAAATGACTAAGGGTAGCTGTGCAGGGCACTTGGGTAGTGAAATTGCAGCCCAGAATATGGAAAGTACAGAGAGAAAATGCTGCGCCAACTCAGTGTTTGAATGGAGGGACCACTGCAAACGTAACAGACCCACCATAGTCGTGCGGCTTCAGTCTCCAGTCTTCGGGAAGGGCATATGGGGCTTGCTTTCCGAGGATCACCCCTGTTGTGCTAGGGCAGCCTTCCATGAGCACTTGCTCCCCGTGGTCCTGACAACCCCAGTCTCAAGGGATCAGAGCCGATTAGGAAAACCAGGAACCGTTGTTCCAATCTCTTCTGTGGCTGGAACAGGTAAGGGCAATGAGATGCAGCCGCTTCATTATTTCCCATCCCTTTTCATATTTTCTTTCCTTTCTTTTTCTTCTCTTTCTTCTGTTTTCCTTATCAACCTCTCTTCCTTCCCATCACCCTCACCCCACGCCCCAGCCACGCTTCTGACAGAACATTGACTAGGAACCAGAAGCCCATTTTGGCTCAGCCTTCAGGGCAGCTGTTTACAGAGTAGCAGTGTTACACGGGTTTACTGTGTCGTATGTCTGTGTAACACTGGATTTGGATCTTGTATTTAGCTGCCAGAAGTGACTGTGATGAAGTAGGAGAGATAAACTGATAGATTGGCTGCCAGAAAGATGTTGGGAATCAATCAGATAAACAGTGTAGAGAAATAGCTTGCTGTTTTCTAGTGATAATAAACCAGTGGCCTCTGGTCCCCACATTTTTAAACGTAATTGCTGTAGTAATAATGTCCAAAATAAGCAAATGAAGAAACATCACAGGAGAGTTTTTAATTGCGATTGAAATATCCTTTTCCCTTTTGCAGTAAAGATTCATCTTCTATGGAAATGAACATTTCTATAAATTTGTTTTACTTCTTCCAGTGCCTACTTACATAAACAAATGAAAATCAGAGAGTGAACTACTTTCATAGGAATTTATTCCTCCTCCTCTATCCTCCCACAGACGTCAGCTGTTTAAAGTGGTGAAATATCTATATTGCTACCATGCCTCACCTACAGAATCATTACTTTTTTTTTTTTTTTTTTTGTGAAGAAACAAATTTTAAAGTCCAACCTGTATAATTGACAGATGGTGAGCAGGATTATTTTAGTGTGTCCCCTTATATTTCTCTCAGAAGACTTTTGGGATTTTAATCTCTGTTGCTATTTCTCTGCACACAGCACTTGTATGGGAGAGATGTATCCCGTTTTATTATCATAATTTAAAACTCTCCTCCTTCAATGTTTAACCTTTCTTTATTCTTAAGCAGGTCCCATGCCCGTCGTGGAGCTCAAGCTCACGACCCTGAGATCAAGAGTCACACGCTCTACCAACTGAGGCATCCAGGCGCCCCTAATATCTAACTTCTCAACATTACTTCTCTTCACCTAGGACTTTAAGACCCAATGCAAATTCTTAAGTCTGTGTGAAAGGTACAGGTTTACACTCTGGTTGTGTGCAGTGGACCACCCAGGACTAAGAGGAGAGTAGGAGAGTCATTTATGGGGGCCCATGGAGTTCGTTGTATGGGACGAGAGACTGGTTCTCTGTGTTGTATTTGCAGTCCACACATATGACTTCTGTCAGGATCCCTTTTAAAATTGTCATGGCTTTGACTGTGTTGGTGTCATACGTGGTTAAATCTCTTCATAGTAAGCTTGGGGGAGTACCAGCCATGGAAAGCAAGAGAATGAAGTTTGCACTTTTAATTATATGTAATAAAGGCTTTTGCCTGAGGAAGACCTTCCTGACTATTGGAGGTTATAGGTCAGAAGTTAACCATGTACCATTATCCTATTGGTGAGAAGCTGATGCATTTTCCTTTTTGCCATACAGCCTTTCCCACCTGACCTTTTAAAGATTCTCCATCGGTATTGATGAGGTGGACAAAACTAATCATAAAAACAATGAGGGGAATGTTGCGCACTCATTGATCCATTTGAAATGAACTGCAGTACAATAAGTCTTCCAAATGGACTTCTGTTCTCAGCTATTGCTGTAGCCACCTTTTTAAAGATACATAAATATGAAAGGGTTAATGGGAATTCAGTCATGCTCTTGCCACTGGGTTGTCCCTTATTGATTGTAGTTTTAGAGCTGTCACGGTGCCATTCAGAATTCCTACAGTGCCCTTTTAAAGTCACTTGGTGCTGGGAGATGATAAATAAATCTGTTGCTTTCCTTTTTCCCCTAGCTCCTTCGGGAACTCATAGAACGGAAAACCAGCTCCTTGGATCCCAACGATCAAGTGGCCATGGGAAGGTAATTTAGATATGGCTTTCTGTTTGTGCAAGCGGCCTATATAATAGTTTCTCCCTTTGAGTCCCCTTAATTCTGCATCAGAGGCAGCGGTTGGCTCCGTTATTGTAAATGTTAAGCAACATTAAAAAAAAAAAAAAGTTAAGCAAGACAGTAAGAGCTGGAAAGACAAGGTGATGGAAATCCTATACCTTGCCTTAAGTACAGTTGAATAAGAGATTATAAAACACCTATGTTTTTGTTTTAGGGTTTGTTTTTCAAAGTCCTTCTTACGGTCTTTGCTCCCTGATTTGGGCTGTGATTGTATCTGTATCGGTCTCTGACCGCTGGATAAAAAGCAGCCACCCAAATGTGTGTTCTCAGCTGTCAGAATGTGGCACTATGCACAACAGGTTCCTTGCTCATAGTTGAATCTGCTTTGTTCGAGTCTGCCCTAATTTAGACCTCCACCCCTTCAGTAAAAGCCTCAGCACAATTAGAAACAGAACGTGGCAGCATTACCCAGATGTCAGGGTAGAATGTAAAGTAGTGAAGGAAGGCTCGTGTGTATGCTTCATCCTGTGGTTGGAAAATAAAAAGGGCATTTAGAGTGCTACCTAATGAATAGTGTACATTTAAATAGCCATGAGCCATAATTTGCAAAAGCATGAAAGGAAACAAAAGCTGCAAGTACCAGAATGGGATTCTGGGCAAAGCAGCATTTTGAGAACACAATGAAAAATTTGTTTTGATGAAATAATTTTATTTGAGTAAAACATTATTTGGGTTTAAGGATAGGATATTGTTGGTATTTTGCGTATCTCTGGAATGCTATAGAGAGCTGTTCACTATAAATTTAATGTGATACAGCAAATTGCGTGGTGATTATATTGTACATTTATCTGACTTTACAATAAAATAGATTATGGTAATTAAGATTATATTAAGATTACAGTAATTGGATTTCCCTAGATTATTTTTTTCTGATGTTGAGTTTTCGTTGTATAAATCAGGTAAGATGACTAGCTGTTGCTGTTTCTCTCTTTTTTTTTTTTTTTCCACATTTGTTCATATGAGGAATTTATGAAGATTTTTCTTGGCCAGTATCCTTTATTTGAAAAATTAATTCCTTTTCATCTGAAATGACTGCAGAATATGTGACTCTTGTTTGGATCCTGATTCAAACAAACTAACTGTAAGAGTGAGATGACCCAGGAAATTTGAAGACTGACTCAGTATTTGGTAGTAAAGAATTACTGGCAACTTTTTTTGTAGGTGCGACAGTCGTATTGAGACTATATTGGGGGGAAAGAACCCTTACCTCTCAGCAGCACATTCTTAAATACTACAGATGAAATGAAAATTAAATACACAAAATGGCCGAAAAACTAATGTCAGTGGTGGGTAATTACAAAAAATTAGCAAACATTGGAAAGTGCCAGAAAAAGCACTTGGGTATTAACAAAGGGAAGATTGAAGAATTCCTGTATTCAAACTGAACAGCAGTTGCAGTGTTAGTAATAGAACATCCTGCACAGCTAAAACATTGAAAGCAAACAACTCTCTACTCTGTTTGCTGGCTTTTCCTGTGGACTGCAAGATTTAGTGCCTGTCACAGGAACTCTAGATACTAAGGAGCATTGTTAACCAAATTCGCTATAGAATTTCCCAGCTGCCATTTCTTTTTTTCTCATTGCACAAATCCTCTTCAATTGATTAGTCGCTTTGGCCCCAGACTATCTTGAGGAACTTGATGTGGGTTGATGATTTCTTTGCGCAGTGAGAAAAATTCCAGTTTGTCAATAAGTACAACTGTTTCTGTTAGTGATGATGCATAACATTGCTTGTGAATTTCCCAGGCAGTGGCTTGCGATCCAGAAGTTACGAAGCAAAATCCACAAGAAAGTAGATAGGAAAGCCAGCAAAGGAAGGAAACTCCGGTGAGTTACTTTTTAGAAAAGATTTTAACATGTTACAACTCTTACATTTTGGCTGTTATGTCAGTTCTATATGTCTTCTGATGATTCTGTTTTTAAGGATCAAAAAAATAACAAAAACAGTGTCTGTGGCTTTTGGGGGACTCCATTTTTCTTACTCTAAAATGGAAATGTTGTAGTTCAGTTCCTTTTTGTTTTGCTGTTGTAAGGGGATGGGTTAAATAACACCTGCATTTTCCTGAAAGAAAAATAAGAAGAAAAAAAGATAGTTGAAATTGTCTTAGTTTTTTGTTTTGTTTTGTTTTTTGGATTTTTTTTTTTTTTTTTCTAGAGCGAGAGAAAGCAGGAGTGGGGAGGGGAGAGGGAGAGAGAGAGAATCCTAAGCAGACTCTATGCCCAGCCTGGAGCCCAGTGTGGGGCTCGATCTTATGATCCTGAACCCACGACCTGAGCTGAAATCAAGAGTCACATGCCCAACTGACTGAGCCACCCAGGCATCCTGAAATTGTCTTAGTTTTAAAAAGGGATTTCTACAGAACAGTATAGCAGTTTTACTTTGGATGCTTGTTTAGAATATATTGGTCCATTTTCATGAGGCCATACATGTATACACTATGCTAAGAAGATATAAATGAAGGATTCCAGAGAATGTTAACAGTGTGCTTAAATGAAATGAGAAATACATTTTTTTTAAGATTTTATTTTTAATCAATGTCTTCACCCAACATGGGGCTTAAACTTAAACCCTCAGATCAGTAGTCACACACTCTACCGACTGAGCCAGCCAGGCTCAGTCTAAGAGAAATAGAATTTTTATGAGAAAACAGATTCTGACCTTCAGTCAGAAGAAAAGAAAACCTTCAGTCCTGTATATGTTGTATATGTATGGTATACAGAGAGGTAATATTTTATTTTATGTCCGTTGTGTAGTATCATTTGCACAAAGCCTCCTGTCAAAGAAACTACTTATAATTGGGGTGCACATGGAAAAAAAAAAAATCTTCAACTCATTGTGTTACGACAGTTTAGGCAGATAGCGAATTCTGCATCCTTATTAGAGACTGCCTGTCATTGAATTCCCTTTAGACAGATGTGGATCTGTCTCATATTTAAGTAACTTCAGAGAAGCAGATTTCACAACTACTTTAACTGATCTGTTTTTGTTTTTAACAGACTCACCAGGAAATAGGTATTTCTCTCTAACTTTGCAGAAGTGCAAAGCAACTTTTCACCATCTTTTTATTCAAAGTCACTTTCTTAAATCTCAGGTTAAATTGTTATAATTTGTTTAACTTTTTTTGTATTTGGAATTTCCATGTCTTTACACTTCTCCAGGTTTGTTTTTAGTGGGATGGTTAAGAGCATAGGTTCCAGGGCCAAACTTACTCTTTAATGTTGAGAACAGATTTTTCCCTAGTGCTGTGCTTTCAAAATTGTAGCTTTATGAGATGATAAATGTTCTCTAGAGGGAGAAGCCTGGAATCCTGGGAGGCTTGGGTTCAAATTCTGGCTCTGGCTGTATGATTTTGGTTGTTCTTTTCTCTCTGTGACTCACTTTTCTCATTTACTAAGTAGTATAATAATCCCTACTTCATAGATTTGGTTTGAGGGTTAAAATGATGTGTAAATGTCTGGTACATAGTAAACATTCGAAAGTGTTAATTTTCTTGGTTTCTCTTGTTTACCTGTTGGTATTGCTGTTGCAAATATACCATCTTCAGAAGAATTGAGAGAGGACAAAATCCCTTCTCTACATTATTGTTAGGAATTTTATATTGGGACAGGTACCTAAGTGTGTGTGCCCCTTGAGGGCAAGAATTGTGCTCCCTTCTTTAAGATAATTCCAGCCTTTTATTAGTCAGCCAGAAGATGTTTTTGGATGATTATGTCATTAAACTTAACATGCTCACCAGGTATGGAGAAATGGCTATACCCTTAAACATAATGCAGTGTAAGAAGCTGGGTGAATATTGGAAAAGGGAGTACTTTTCTAACATGGCAAGTTACTTAGGAGAACATGAGTCTGTTCTTACCCAAATCAAAACATACTTACCATGGTTATTATTTATTAAGTTGAAAGAAAAAAAATTATTTTGTTTTAGTAGCAAGTTTTTTTCTTACATTAATTTATTTTCTAAAAGATTTTATTTATTTATTTATTTGACAGAGAGAAAGAGCTAAAGGGGGAACAAATGGGGGAGCAGGAGAGGGAGAGAGAAACAGGCTCCCCACTGAGCAGGGAATCCTGACGTGGGACTTGATCCCACGAACCTGGGATCACGATCTGAGCTGAAGGCAGATGTTCAACCAACTGAGCCACCCAGGCATTTGTTAAACTAACCTCACTAAACTGTTCATTAGAGGTTTGGTCACTGCGAGTATATACACCTGGTTTTGTAGCATTTTGATAAGTGATTTAGAGTCACACATGCCTATAAATCCAAAGACATTTAAAGTCTTATTCTGGCAACAGGCAAGTGAGAGACAGACATTCTATTTAAATGGAGCTAAACATTAAAATGTAAGGCATGGTTAATTAAAATTCAAAAAGGAGGGGCACCTGGGTGGTTTAGTCATTGAGCTTCCAACTTTTGATTTCCCTTGGGGTCATGATCCCGTGGGTTGTGGGTTTGGGCCCGGAGTCGGGCTCCCTGGTCAGAGGGGACTCTGCTTGGAATTCTCCCCCTCTGCCTCTCCTCCCTGCTTGTTCTCTCTCTCTCTCAATTAAATAAATCTTTTTTTTTTTTTTTTTTTTTTTTTTTTTAAGTACAAATAAGATTCCTTCTGAAGTTCAATGAACCGTATTGGGTACCATGTAAGACCCATTTTGCCCTTCAGTAGTGTGTCCTCAGGAGAGGGTGGCAGTGGGGTGCTTGGGTGGCTCAGCTGGTTAAGTGTCTGACTCTTAGTTTTGGATCAGGTCATGATCTCAGGGTTGTGAGATTGGACATTGGTCTCCACACTGGGTGTGGATTGTGCTTAAGATTCTCCCTCCCTCTCCCTCTGCAACCCCCTCCCTGCTCACCCATGCATGCTCTCTTTCTCTTTAAAAATACAAAAAAAGGAGAGGGCAGCAGACAGTGATGCTGTGTGGGAGGCCCTGTGGTGGAGGTTCTCCTGGTGGCCAGGTCACCTGGGTGCCCTTGGCGGAGTGCAGGCTGCTCAGGAAGCTTGTGTCTGAGACGCCATCCACATTCCACACTAAGCAGACTAGAAGAGTCAGCCCAGTGAAAGGCTACAGAGAATAATGGTTTTAAAAACATAGACGAGAGTGTACGTGGCCATTTTGGAAACTGTAATTTAATTTGTTTTGGCAAACACTTAAAATGCATAGGGGGGAATGGCAGTAGATAAGGCTGTGTGAGTAGGTGAGTGCTAGGTCATGGCCATGCTAAGAATTTGGACTTTATTCTGTACACTGTAGTGAGTCATGGAAAAACAAAGGAAGACTGAAGAACTGTCACAGAGTGAAGGAGACTAAGGAGACATCGCAAGTAGGTACAGTTTGGGGTCCTAGATTGGAGCCTGGAAAAGAAAAAGGACACTAGGGTAAAAACGGGTGAAATTTGAGAGCTGTGTAATTTGGATAGTAGTATCATACCAGGGTTCACTTCCTGATTTTGATAATCGTACTGTGTTTATGTAAATTGTTAACTCTAGAAGAAGCTGGGCAAGGGTATTCATGAACTCTATTATTTATGCGGTTGTTCTACAAGTCTAAAATTACTACAAATTAGTTGTTGAGTTAAAAAGTTTGGGACTGCGGTTCCTGGGTGGCTCAGTCAGTTGAGTGTTCGGCTCTTGATTTTGGCTCCAGTCATGATCTCAGGGTGGTGAGATCAAGCCCCATGTCAGTTCTGCACTGGGCATGGAGATGACCTGGGATTCTCCCTCTCCCCACCCCACCAAAAACAAGTTCAGGGCTCCAGACTGGGCTTGGAGGTTACTTTAAAAAAAGTTTTATTTTATTTTTTATTAATTTATTTGACAGAGAGATACAGCAAGAGAGGGAACACAAGCAGGGGAAGTAGGAGAAGGAGAAGCCGGCTTCCTGCAGAACAGGGAGCCTGATGCAGGGCTTGATCCCAGGACCCTGGGATCATGACCTGAGCCAAAGGCAGACGCTTAACGACTGAGCCACCAAGGCACCCTTAAAAAAAAAAAGTTTTAAAAGAAGGTCATATGTTTTGCATTGTTTTGCAGTTTCGTCATCCATATTCACCTGGCTTTCCTGTGACCATGAATGTGAGGAATGTGGTCAGAATGAGAGGGTGGTCTTTATTAATCGCAACAGTGATCACATTTATAAAACTCTCACTGTTAGGCACTGCTAAGCAGTTTACGTGCAGAGAGAACAAAAACCACACTCTGGAGCTTCCTTGTCCAGGTTTGAAACCTGACTCTGCTACTTACCTACCCCCCACCCCACCCCGGGGACCTTGGGCAAGTTAGTTTACTTCTGTGCTTCAGTTTCCTTACCTGTGAAACGTGTATATTCCTGAAAGTCCCATCTTAGAGGAGTGGTATCAGATTAGGTGAGCTGATTCCTGTAAAGTGTTTTGAGAAGTGAAGCAGCTCACGCAGCCTGCACAGAGCTGGGAAGTCGCAAATTTGGATTTGAGCTAAGTGGTCTGATTGCAGAGCCCATGCTTCTGACCTGTGGCCTGTTCGTTTCTCTCTGGGCAGGACTTACTGGCCTCTGCAGGCACCAGAATGACATATTGGATACATTAGCGTTCTGCCCCGAAGGATTAAACAAGTGGCCCGGCTAGATGAAACTATTATAAATAACATCCTTAAATGAGACCTCAGGAAGAGCTGATAGATATGCCAGCTGTCATCACTGATACTGGGTTCCACCAGTGAGCAGGTTCTGCTCTTTGTTTGCCATAGAGTTGGAAAGAGAAGATTTCCAGAAATGTCATAGCACAGACGAACGATCATTTAAATGGTAACAGGTTAATGGCATCAGCCTGGTCAGACTGGGCATTGCAGCTTGTTAGTTGGATGCTAGAAAATAATTTATTTTTAGAAAAGGAATATTTGCGTTTGGGGAAATAATTATGCCTGTTGATTATTTTTACTTAGCATTATATTTAAGTAGATTTGATCATGATTTAATCAGAATTCATAATGTAAGTGAATTAAATTTAGGCTTTAAGTAACAGGATGTCTTACTGTGTTTGTTCTTCTTCAGCAAAATGCCATTTATCTTTTCTTAGCATGGTTGTTAAAAGGTGTTTTAATACTAAAACATGCATCCATCCTCAGCAGCACTGAGATCAGGTGAAATCTATTGCATTAAGTACACATTACTAAATTGTCTTTAATGTGATTACTTCTTAAAGTCTGTCTTTCGTCATGCTATTAATAGTTATTGAATATATTGTATTAAAATGTAAAGGTATTCCACAGAGCAGCACCATCCAATAAAAACATGCATTACATATACAATGTTAAATGTTCTGGTGGCCACAAAGTAAAAGGAATCAGGTGGACTTAATAATATATTTCACCTAGGGACACCTGGGTGGCCCAGTCAGTTAAGCGTCTGCATTTGGCTCAGGTCATGATCCCAGAGTCCTGGGATCCAGCTCTCATCGGCCTCCCTACTCAGTGAGAAGCCTGCTTCTCCAGAACTCTGCCCTTCCTCTGCTCATAATCTCTCTTTCTGTCTCTCGCTCAAATAAATAAATAAAATCTTTAAAAAATACTTCTTTTAACCCAGTATGTCAAATATTATTACCCAGTTTTTCAACAATTTATTATTTTAAAATTATTAATGGTATATTTTGCGTTCTTTCTTAAATCTTGAATCTTCAAAATCTGGTGCACTTAACTTGGTCCATCTGCAGTAGTCCGACTAGCCATGGTTTCAAGGGCCTACGTAACGGCATGTGGCCAGTGACTACTGAATCGGACGGTACAGCTATGGAGTAGAGCTCATAGTCTTTGTCCAGAGAGTGGATTATAAACCTCTCTTTGTTGTTGTTTTGTTTTTTAAAGATTTATTTATTTATTTATTTGACAGACAGAATCACAAGCAGGCAGAGAGGCAGGCAGAGAGAGAGAGAGAGAGAGAGGAGGAAGCAGGCTCCCGGCAGAGCAGAGAGCCCGATGTGGGGCTCGATCCCAGGACCCTGGATCATTACCTGAGCAGAAGGCAGAGGCATTAACCCATTGAGCCACCCAGGCGCCTCATAAACCTCTCTTTGGATACAGCCAAGAATAGTGTTCCTTTTTTCAGATGGGCACCAAAGTTTGGTGAAGCCTCAAGACATTAAAATGCATTTATTAATAATACTTAGGCTTTATACTTAAATTAAAAGGTTATGTGACTATTTATATTCTCATATATTAACATAACCTTTGAGAGGGTATTTTGGTTTAGTCTTTCAATTTTCAGTATGTGTATCTTTGGATTCACCAGCAATTTCACATTTCAAAATTTATTCTGAAGATATATGTAAACAAATATGCAATAATTTATGTATAAGAATCTTCACCTTAACACTGTTTGGTACTGATTTTAAAGGGGAGCAGTCTAAGCTTGGGGTGCCTGAGTGGCTCGGTGCGTTAAGCCTCTGCCTTCAGCTTGGGTCATGATCTCAGGGTCCTGGAATTGAGCCCCACATCAGGCTTTCTGCTCAGCAGGGAGCCTGTTTCTTCCTCTTTCTCTCTGCCTGCCTCTCTGTCTGCTTGTGATCTCTCTCTCTGTCAAATAAGCAAAGAAAAAAATCTTTAAAAGAAAGGGGGGGGAGCAGTCCATATAAATGCCCATTAATAGGAAATTAAATAAATTATAATATATTGACACAGTGGAATATTCTGCAACAATTAAAAGAATAGACTGTGTTAAAAGTGTATAATGTAGAATATCAAGTATATTACAATCTCCCTTTTATGTGAAAAATGTGTTAAGTTTATGTTTGTCTTATATATGGAAAATGCTACAGCCACACTTAACAGTTTATAGTTAAGAATGATTATTTCTGGGGATAGGACTGGAGGAGGCTTGTCAGTTTTCTATACATTTTTGTATTTGAATCTTTTTTTATAAGAATTGTATATTACTTTCTATAATTAGGAGGTAGCAGACATTTTTAAAAAACACGTATGCAAAGAGATTTTGTTTTTGCATCTTACGAAACGTGAAGAATGGGAAGCAATATAAATGTTCAAAAATGTATTCTACTATTTCCACTCCTGGGATTCTATACAGCTATCCAGATATTGTTATGGGCCATTACTTACAATGCTGCTAAGTGAAAAAAAGAGAATACAAAAGTGTGTGTGTGTGTGTGTGTGTGTGTGTAAATAACAGGATTACTATGAAAACAGGCATAACTAAGCAAAATGTTAACAGCTCTCTTTTAAGTGGAGGAACTATGCATTTTGTGTGTGTGCTTTGTTGGTTTCTTTCCATATTTTCTATAATGAATTTATACCTTTTCTATTACTCTTGTAATGCAGGAAATCTCATCACTATTATTGTAAAATTCATTTGTTAAAAAAAGGATGAAATTTGGGAGGCTTAGCTGTGGGTGGTACCATAGAGAATCAAATTACTCAATATGTGTAAAAATGTTTGTAATACTGTAAAGCTAATATTATGTACGTGAAAATATCATATTTTTGTTTGTGGATAGTGTTCTGCCCAAGTAGAATTTTGTGGGTTTTTAAAAAGATTTTATTTATTTTTTAAGTAATCTCTACCCTCAGCATGGGGCTGAAATTCACAACCTGGAGATCAAGAGTGACACGATCTACTAACTGAGCCAGCCAGGTACCCCCCACCCCCCGATAAAGTTTTTTAGTTAGAATTTTATAATATGCATATTGTCATACAGCCTCTGTTATAATGAACAGAAGGGCTACCTCCTGTGGATTCTCTTTGGTAGAATTGGGTTCATATAAGGTCATATAGTTGTTCAGCTCCTTTCATCAGAGGATCTCAAAGCACTTTGTGCAAAAATACCCTTTTTTTTCTGTTGGTGGGAAACAGAAGTGATAGAATTTAAATTTCCATAACACCATGACTTGAAGAGCTAAGGATCAAACAGGTTATGTCTCAGATGTACTCCTTCATTTAAAGATGGGTGAAATGAGAGACTGGATCTAGTGAATAGAGATGATGTGGAATTCTAGAAGCCTTTTCTGACTCAGGGAACCAGTGCTAATGAGTGATGGTGATGTGAGGCATTGTAGTCTTGTGTTGCACCACTATGGTGCTTACTACTTACTAGTAATGACATAGAAAAATGATTAAGATGTACTTAGAAAGAAAATGGAGTACTCAAGTCCTCCTCCTCTTCTATCTGGAATAAAGTTTAAGGGTTAGTATATTGCTCAAGGGCACAAGTGTGTCTACTCTTTTGAGACTTTGGTATAAATGGATCTGTGTTGAACTACTGTCATTTACAATGTGCTGTTATGAGACTTTTCTCCTGTAATATTAAGGGAAAAGAGGGAAATACATTTGTGATTAGTGTGTGCTTATGAATTGTTCTCCATTCCACTCTGGAGTCACACGTTCCTGTGATCAGTTCTGGACTTTATTAACTCGGAATGTGTTTCGTTTTCTGGGTTAATAGTTACTAATGTCACTGCCTGTTTGTTTCTGCTTTATTTAGGTTTCATGTCCTCAGCAAGCTACTGAGCTTCATGGCACCTATTGACCATACTACAATGAATGATGATGCCAGGTGAGTAATAGATTAATTATGTGTCTCAAATGGCTCCATGACAGCCTGATATTGACCTGTTCTACAGCCTGTCACCCTCTCCATTTCTTCTTATCAGTTAACCATTTGTCATTGGCATCATAGTAAGGGTCCTTGTCACTTTTCTTCACCCCATAATTACTATAGAACCAAACCAAAACTTCTGTGAATATCATTGCTGCCTCTGGTGGTTTTTTGTTCATTTTGCTGTTTGGTTTTTTAGCCACCTGCCAAGGCATCTAGGCCTTTCTCTAGTATGGAAAGGTAGGTCAGGACAGTGCATGTGCATGCCTTCTGTGGCTGGGGGGTTTTGTGTATATGCTCTCCTTTTTAAAATGTCTCTATAGAGAGTGCTCTAGAGATGTGTGTTATGTTGTGTTTGTTCAGGCTGCTGTTGAGGACATACTCATTTTATAAACTGAAACAAGACAGCAATGTATGGAAAAATGTCTCCTTGTAATATTACAATTAATAGCCATTTTTCAAAGACTCACTCCTTCTGTATTAGCCAGCATTCTAGCATTCTACTACATTGTAATATTTCTGTATTACTTATTTAGCCATTTCCTTCTCTTTCATTTATTTGCCATTCATTTATATCAGTATGAACTTGTGCTTTCCTACTTTATTCAGTGAATTATAACCTATTACTGTCACTGTTTTTTATTTGAAATTGTTCCATGTTAATGGAAGCTCTTTCAAGCTGGCTTATGTCCTTTTGGGATGTCTCCATTCCTTGAGTGTGTTCTTACTTTCTGGCACAACAGGGTATTCTAGGCTTGTCTTATACTTTCCCTGTTCCAGCCCTGGAGTCAGTCTTTCTTCAAGGAGCCCTGATTCCTTTTTGTGTATTGTGGTATTTAGAAGCCAAGATCTGTGTGCTAAGGGTGTTCATTGTCATGGCGTTTCACTGTTCCTAGGCGCTGTCAGTGTAGGGAGCTGTGAAGTGTATGTGTGTTAAATATACACACATGCAGGAGAGAGCCACTTGAGGCATCTCTGACTATTTGCTTTCAGTCCTTTTTTCCCCCCAATTTTCCTAGACATTTTATTTATTTATTTATTTATTTGTTTATTTATTTAAATGTACTCTGCATGCAACGTGGGATTCAAACTCATGACCCTGAGGTTAGGGGTCACATGCTCCACTGACTGAGCCAGCCAGGCATTTTACATAGTAAAATGTCACATATTGAACTTTTTCTTGCCAGTCTGTCATTTACTTAACACTTTGTTTTCAATGCGATTTTCAGGTAGTCAGATCTATTAATATTTTTCCTTATGGCTGCAGGCCTTGGTGTCATGCTTACAAAGTCCTTGTCTTTCTTGAAATCATAAAAACATTCTCTATTCATATATGCACACCAAAAATGACAAATCTGTAACTTAGCAAAACCAAAACTATTCATTTGAGGAAAACTACTATGTACTAATATGACATTTTAACTTTCAGTCTTTATGAGTTTCCTTTGAGAATGTTCTTGTTTTTCTTTAGAATATAATTAAAATTACATTCTATGGGAATTTTTTCTTTAAATATTTGTATAGTGTAAGCATTTTAATGTCAGTAACAACTCAAATTTTAAATGACTTTATAATATTTTTATATTGCTCATTTAGTCATTCACTACTTGTTGGACATTTAAATGATTTTTAATTATTGTAAATAATGCTATGGTAGACATTTGTAAACATGAATCTTTACCAGGTGAAATTACTGGTCGTAGGGTAAGCATGTAAGGGTTTTGCCAGCTTTATATTTCAAAGTTCACTTACCCTTTTTATTTGAGAGTATTTCATCTGCTATTAAACTTCATCAGATTTTCTGTCCTGGCCTAAAAAATAGTAGATGTGCAAGTTGAGGTGAACATATGATTACTTCTTTTTTGTTTGCTTTTGTTTAGTACTTTGAGTGCAAAAGAGCATATGGAGGGTTCTGAGTATATTTGTACTCAGAACTTCGTGACTTCACTGTGCTTTGTGAGTGAATGCCTTTGTCCAGCTGGGGGGTTTTGTTTGTTTGTTTCCACTTATTTCTGGATCTAGTCTGTTTTTTTGAAATTACAGAGTAAATTGAGTGCAACTTACAGTCCCTGTCCGGACAACATGGAAGATTATATTAAAGGAAAGGAAAACTAGATGTTCAAAAATGAAGACAAACCATTAAGGAACCATTATTACCCCACGCATAAAGTGTGAAACCCAGTATATTATTGGTGGCATCTACAACTTTTTGTCCTTTGTAGTTAGGATTATTCTTGAATCACCTAATATCCCAGGGGCACTTAGTTTTCCTGAATCTTATTTATTCACTTAACAGTTTCTGAGGGTTGCTACCAAATGCTAACCAAAGATGATTTAAAACTGACTGTATTATTTAGGATTATGTTGGACTTGGTCTGCAAGAATCTTAAAACCTGTTTACAGAGATATAAGCAAATGAGTTTATTTTTTGACAAAAACTTTAGGGGTAGCATGCAATTATTGGCAGTGGTTTCCCCTTCTCAGTGATAAAAGGGCTAGCTTCTCTTAGTCTTTCTCTTTTGGTCCCAAGATGGCGGCTGCAGTTTTAGCCATCAAACATGTTCATGGTAGGAAGAAGAGAGAAAAGAAGTAGTGTCAGATATACCCTTTTTCTTTTATCAGAAAAGTAAAAGCTTCCCCAGAATCCCCTCCAAATGTTTTATATCTCAGTTGTTAGAACTGTGCTACCTTGCTACTTGAGGTGGAGGAGCAGGCAAGGGAGAAGGGTTGGGAATGTTTGTTGGGTAATAGTCCTTCTGCCATTCAGTGTTTGTGGGGGGAAAAGGCTGTCCCTTTTGGACTGATTGCTTATTATCAGCATTGTTCTCCAGCTTGTTTAGCCCGCTTAACAAGGAATTTAATAAAAGTCTTGTAGCTGGAGAACTAAGCATGTGTTTTTTAACACAGTGCACTCTATTCCCATTGTGTTTCTTAAGGAGAAGAGGCATTTATCCATATTATTGCTTGTGCTCCATAGTCTGAGTAAGCCAGATTAACTGTGGGTAGAGGAACTGGGCATTAGTTCTCTCTGCTTTTAGTATCCAAACTCTCAGGGCAGAAGGAGGCAGTCCTAGCTTGACCTCTTTTGTTTTTCTTTAGGTAATTCCATAATTGGTGACAGTCGGCTACTGTAGTATTTTGTCTCCTACTTTGTATATCACAAAATATCACTGAGGAATTGGAAACTTTCATAGTTGTTAAAATATCATATTAGTACATAGTACTTTTCGTCAAATGAATAGTTTTGGTTTTGCTAAGTTACAGATTTGTCATTTTTGGTGTGCATATATGAATAGAGAATGTTTTATGATTTCAAGAAAGACAAGGACTTTGTAAGCATGACACCAAGGCCTGCAGCCATAAGGAAAAATATTAATAGATCTGACTACCTGAAAATCGCATTGAAAACAAAGTGTTAAGTAAATGACAGACTGGCAAGAAAAAGTTCAATATGTGACATTTTACTATGTAAAATACTATGTAAAGACTTTTTACAAGTCTTTATGAATCCCAGTAAAAATAATGGGCAAAATATGTCAACAAGCAAACTTAGAAATCATAAAACTCATATAGCTAAAAAAACAAAGACTGTCTGTCAACCTCATTAATCAAAGAAATGCAAATTAAAATGAGATTTCATTAAATTACAAAATATTAAAAGATTGGTAACCCCCTGTGCTGATGGTGTGGGGAAACAGACACTTCCATGTACCATTTTTGGGAATGGAATTGGCAAAATGATTTTGGAGGGCTATTTGGCAATGTGCGTCAGGATTTTAACTGTATACTTGGGTTCCTGGGTGCCTCAGTGGGTTAATAAGCCTCTGCCTTTGGCTCAGGTCATGATCCCCGGGTCCTGGGATCCAGCCCCGCATCAGGCTCTCTGCTCAGAGGGAGCCTGTTTCCCCCCCTCTCTCTGCCTGCCTCTCCACCTACTTGTGATCTCTCTCAAATAAATAAATGAAATCTTTTTTAAAAATGTATACTTATCTGATGACTCAGAAAAATCTACTTCTAGGAATTGACCTCAGGAAATAAATATAATCTCAGGGGTTATGAGACTGATACCCACATCTGGGTCCATTCTCAGCAGGGAGTCTGCTTGAGGGATTTTTTTCCCTCTGCCTCTCCCTCCCAGTACCCCCCCCCCAGATAAGTACATTTAAAAAAACTACTTCAAAATGAATAGATAAGTAAATAGGAAATGTAGAACAAAACAAGAATCTTTGTTGCAACATGGTTTATAATGGAGAGAAATAAACAATTTTAATGACCTTCAATAAGCAACTGTTAAATAAATCACAGTAAGATCATTCAGTGAAATTATAAACAGCTGTTAAAGGATGAAGTAACACTGTATTAACATAATGTTCAGCTACAAAATATTTTTTAGTATTATATGTTATACATATAATATGTATATAACAAATACATATTATAATCCACATTTTGAGTAAATAGGTGTATAGGATGGGAAAAAAAAGTGGTTTCTTTTAAAAAATGCATTATACTGTTTCCCGGTTATTTTGTTAACTAGAAAAAGAAATCGTGCTTGTAACATGATCAACTTAAGTTTTGACAATAGAAATTAAACTGGCGTGTATATATACACATATGTAAGTGTATGTTACAGTGGTTAGGGAAATATCTGGGAAGACCACACATGATAATATTTACAATGTTTACTTGTAGGAAAGGAATGACATGAGGGAGGGGGTGAGGGAGACTCAGTGTTTTTTATGCTTCTAATTTGGTCCAATCTTTTGCCATGCATTCATAGAAGTTACATCAAAAAAAAAAAAAAGAAGAAGTAGTAGTAGTAGTTACATTAAAAAGTAAGACGCTCTGAAAAAATGGACATCAGACTCCACATACTTATTGCTGGCTGGAGGGGAGTAGAAAATACAATTTACTTTCTAGCTTCTGTATTTCCATAGTCTTCCAAATTTTTCTACAAT